GAAGTAATTCTTGTAAGTCCAAGACAGAAAAATTTCTAATTCAGGGACAAAAGTAGGCTACAGTTACATTTTATTCACTCCCAGAATAGGGGGACACATGGAAATGGCCTAATGGGAATGGCCCTGGGAGTATCTCACTTGCTCAGCCATGACCTTTTGGACTGCCTTTTCAGGCAACTTAGCCAGTCAACTCTCCTAGACACGATTTACAAGATGACTCAGACCTGTCACTTCTTTTCATCTCTCTCTCCATCAGCTGCTGAGAGAATTAAATGCAGATACCAGATAAGTACAAATTTGCTAGCATCCCAATCCTGTTACAAATATATGGGCAGTTTTTACACAGAGAGCGGTGCTGGATGATTAATCTAACTCTGTTTGGGACAGACTGCAAATCAGAGAGCTGCAGACACCCCATTTGTTACCAGGAGAAGGAGCGCCTGTAGTCTTTGAATGGCACAGTCCTGGTGTCCAAGAAAGGATGGGCAGCACTGACAACTGATCGAAATATCCAAACCAGCTACTCTGAAGAGGGCTCTTAGGAATGGCTTGTCAACCGACCGGTGACACTGGGCCAAGGAAATCATTATGGGAAAACCACACAGGTGAATCAACAGTTTGTCTTATCACTTTCCTTTCTGTCAAGACTGCTAAAGGTCTTTGCTGCAGTACTGTCAAAAATCATTTTTTGCCTGGCCAGTTTAGGAACAGGAAGAATTTTCTGAGCAATCTTCTTGTGCTTGACTCAATGCCCACAAGCAAAGTGCATGAAAGACACACTTCAAGTCAAAAGTTAAACTGAAGACCAAGATTTCATATGGTATTAATATTCAGCCCACCTTCAAATATACCCTAGCGGGACTGTCATTTGCTAAGGCTGAATTTCTGTTAAAAAAACAGTAATGTCTCTCAGCAGCATCTCTTAGATCAACAGGATTGTACAGCTCAGCCTGTGGGCTCGGAGGGCTAAGCATCACTGCCAATGACAAGCTACTTTGGGTCAGAGTTCTGAGAAAAAAAAAAAAAAAAACAAACACAAAAAATGAGGTGAAAACAGCAAGAGGTGGCCTAGATGTGGAATGGAAAGAAGACAAACTATGCATAGTTGACTAACATGCTTGATAGTGATCTGGGGGAAGTAAGTAGAGCATTTCCATCCCAACCTTCTTCTCCAAATACAAAAGCCAATCCTGTTAAGTGACTGAGATAAGGAAAAATTTACCATTTTGCTGGACAGAGTGGGGACAGGGGAAGTATATTGGAGGCACATCAACAATTCGTATTTGTCATGGTGAGAGAACAAGAAAAAGATGAGCTATGCAGATCTCTCCTGTCAAAGGAGGAAAATTCTGACTAGAAAAGAAGATTTTGAACCAGTTGCAAGACAAATGGATTGAACAAGTGGGTTCTGTGGCCCTGCAGCACAGAGGAAAAGGAAAGGTGAGCCACCAGGAGGTGTCCAACCCAAGGTGGAAGGAGGAACCAGGAAGCTCAGTCCAGTGACAGCCGAGAAAGATAATACAAACACATGAGGAAGCCCAGGACGGCAGACCTGTAAGAAATGACAATTTAAAGAAAAGCTATAGGCTTTTTAAAATGTTGATTTAAAACCAGCAAATAATCCCATTCAGTTGACACTGCTGGTATCAAGTAAACAACTAGGCTAAGCCCACCATGCTCCCTGTCATCACCAGAGGACCCAAAAGTAGGGCGGCTTCTCATTTTAATGAATGTTGCTTATGTTTCCCACTAGTGAAAAACACAGCCTGATTGAAAGGGTTCCTTTGCAAATGCTATCATTATTTTAAATCCTCAGGGTCAAATTCTTTTTGTACTCCAGTAAATACTGAGTAATAACAATTTAAACTGATCCTATAAGAAATAGTAAAGGAAAAGGGGTTTAGCTATTACTCATGAAGGTAGTTTTTCTCACAACACCAGAGAAAAGCTATTGCTGCAAAAAGGATTTTAAGGTTCTTGTAACCACAATATGAAACCTACTTCTCTATAGCATCCAAACCCTTCTGCTTTACTATTGAGGATAATACCACATAAATACAACTTAATCCAGGCATCTGAACTGCCTTCTGCAACATATGTATGATCTTTCCATTTTTATACACAACAAATCTGATAAACAGAGATTATATAAAGAGAAATCATTGGAGCATTACAGCATGAGTATAGCACAGACTAGTTCTCTTCTTTTCAAGTAATCCCAACATATACAGCCAGAGGAGTCTAATCATTAGAAAACCTGACTTCTGTTAGAAAAAAAAAAAAAACAATTCATGTTAAAAAAATTCCTTGACTTTGAGCATTCTTTACTTTGTGCTCAATATTTTTAAATGTTTAAGATTCTAAAAGCCCTGTATCACAGAAGAAACAAAATTTCTGCTTTATTTTGCTTTTTTTTTTTAATATACTGACACGATCTCTGTTCTCAACAGTCCTATCAGCCCAAAAAACAAGAATAAAGATAAGGAGGAACAGACATAAAATATCTGTTAGGATTAGGAGTAAAAACAAAATCTCAGAAGTATTTAGGACAAAATTATCACAGATAACCAAACTCTTGGATGCCCATCCCTTAGGAAGATGAGCACAGGGGGAAACAGAGCGTGCAGAAGTTGGTGCTGGGACCAGAAAACAGAAGCCACAGAGCAGTAGATAGAGAAGATTTGTGAGAAAACACTGTAAAGACCTGTATTCACACTTGGAAAAGTGTGATGATTCTGATACTGACAGCCACTTGAAAGATAACCCTGAAGAAGAGCTCTAGCTTTCTTGTGAAGGTGTTCTGTCATAGTTTAAATTGCATTGTTTATTCCTCTAAGGAGACAGATAAGCCTGAAAACACAGGAATGTACAAATGCATTTCTAAGTAGAATGCCCTGCAACATAAAAATAATTGAAATAATAATCCTGTGGTCCTCTAAATAGCTATCATCTGTATTTCTTGCATGCAATTAAACCCAACTAAATAATGCTGATTATCTGGCTGCAGGATGAAGTGCTGAAAGAACACCATGGAGAGGTGCGGTGCAGTTCCAACAGGCCGAGGAAGACTGTTGCACAGAGGCACTCCGCTAGCACAGGCTGCTGGAAAAATCTGGAACTGAGGAGGTGGTAGTCATCCTGTACAGGTAGGAGTGGGCAAAATGAAGTCTGCTTCGGTAGGGAAGTATCTGCAGTACAAAGCTATTTCACTAGCCTTGCAAAGTTGCCATCACATTGTTATCACTAAGCAGCATTTTCTAGTAACTTTCTAGTTGATTTATAAAACAAAATGGCTAAAGCCAAGTAAGTCTGTATAAATAGTGAAAAATCTCATGAACAGTTGGAACCAGACATGCAGGACAGACACCAAGAAGAGGCATAATAGGAAGTCCTGTGGCTACCTGTGAGGGGGACATCAGGGAGGCAGGGATGGGTCCCTGACGTCTTGCGTGGTGGCTTGCTAAGGAGAAACTCCACCTTGTCCTTCATGGCTTTCTTCAAGGAGCTGGAGAAACTACCACCACAGTTCATGTCTCTGGGCAGTAAGGCATAAGATGAGCTTTGCACATTGAGTCAATGTGCTGACATAACAGAGTACAGGGGGTGGGGTGAGAGCATCGTCCCATCTATTAGTATAAACCAGTGTGGCTGCATGGTTACTTCCAGGGCTTGCTGGAAACCCACTGCTGGACTGCTCTGAGAGGCCGCAAGCATCCCCACAGCCCTTGCAAGGCATCCAAACAAGGCTGGAAGGAAGTCTCACTCCGGCTTAGGACACAGAACTGTTGTGTGACAAACATGGCCAACCTCTGTACTTGGATACAAGGTCTTACGGATTATACCACCATCAACATCAGGTGTCCTGGTCTCCTCACAGCGCTCAGCATTCACCAGATCGCTCTGAGCAATGTGGAAAGAGGTCATAAACTCTACAAGTCAGCCAACCAACAAGACAGGACAATACACTTCTCTTTGGAAATGGGATATTATACAGTGCTCCCTGCTCTCACAGCATTGCCATCTGGCAAGTAAAGGCCAGAATGTGTTCTAAATAGTCTTCTCCTGCACAAACCAGGACCTACAAAATGTTATACAGACCCACTCCAAACGGAACATCTGCATGGGCTGTGTCTGGAAATGAAAGCCTGAGATAGGGGCTCCACTTGATATTGTGAAAGATGTAGGTTTTACTCATTAAACACTTTCAAATCTAAATTCCTCTGGGGCTTTGCTGACTTCCAGAGCAAACCCCTGAAGACAGAGAATTACACCGGTATGCTGCTAGCAGAATCAACCCCCTGATTTACTACTCACTAGCTCAGAGCATAAAAGCTAAAGTATCACTCTATCCCTCCTCCTCCTGGACAAATCTCAACCCTCTGGTACGTGAAAAATGTATTTCACAGCTCCAAATAATGATTCTTTTTGGGACTAAGATGTGACGCCTCCCCCCAGTCCAACTCAGCCATCAGCGCGCTGCAGTGGTCCCCGAGGTCTGCCGAGGACGGTGGTAGCAGGCAGCAGCTGGCCCTGCCGCCTGCCGCCTGCTGAGTTCCTCCTGCTCATCCTCCGGGAGCAGAGGACAGCGAGTCCCGCAGCCTGCAGGTGTCTCCCAGCGGAGGAGGCTGCGGAGCCCCTTGGGATCATGTGTGGTACCCGAGCAGATGTTCACTTGCTCTTGGTGCTGTTTGTGAGACAGACCCTCTCTGATCCTGTCAGCGCGCTGAAGCACACCGACTACAAGAGGACGGCCGCACTCCCGCGCCTGCAGCTGCTCCTTTAACGGACAAAGGCAGGATTTCAAGTGAAGAGAAGAATGGGAGTCTGGCTGCAGTGTTTTCTTCACTGCTACAACAACAGATTGGAAGACGCTGAGAGTTTTGATGCCTGCAAAACTGGATTCTGAATCGTGAGAGGCTTTGAGCCCCCCCCCCCCCCCCATAAAACAAACCCCTTTGACTTCTTCTCTCAGCAGGAGGGGGAGGGAGGGCGGATTTACCATGAAGACAAATCGAAGATGCAGAGCCCTGCTAGCAGTGAGTCTGAATCTGATGGCTCTCCTCTTCTCTACAACAGCTTTTATTACAACCCACTGGTGTGAGGGCACACAGAGGGTCCCCAAGCCGAGCTGTGGGAAAGAGAAGAAGACAAACTGCCTCAACTACAGCGGGAATGAGACTGCAAATGAGACAAACCAGAATGTGGTTCATTACAGCTGGGAGACGGGAGATGACCGCTTCCTTTTTAGGTATTTCCACACTGGGATCTGGTACTCCTGTGAGGAAAATATCAATGCTGCTGGTAAGTATAAACCAACTTCCTTCCAGCTTGTGTTGCTTTGTGTTTGCCTCAGTGTGATAAACACACAGGCAAGCTGTTCGGTGCTGTATCTTAAAGCAGATTCGCCCTGCAGAGAGAGGCAGGATTTCAACAGTTCTTTGTTGAAAAGCAACCTGTTTCCAGCGAGAGCAAGGATTTGCTTGTTTACCTGCTGGCTGATGCAGGGTCTGTGCTCTAAAGCCAGCTGAACCCCTAGTAAGCAGTATGTGCTACCCTCATGGGCACTGCAGCCAGGGACTGGTCAGCGCTCCCCTTCTGGGAGCTGCTCCATGGAGCGCACAAAAGACAGCGGCTGGTAGTTGTTAAGGAGGTTCTGACATCTAATTGTAACTGCCCCTGAAATAACCCCTAGGACAGTGGTATGAATGACAGGGAAAGCACAAAGGTTGCAGTTGATATCACGCTGTAGCCTAGACTGCCTCATTTCTGGTATACCTGAAGTAAATGACCCCCCACAAGCCCTTCCTGGTGGCTGGATTGTGTGTTTATTGAAGTAGAGCAGAGAAATGGCAATTAAAGGGCACAACTGGGCACAAGAAAGCTCATTTCTGTTCCCCCTCAGCCATTTACTTGCTGAGAACCACTTGAGAAGACATCTCTCCAGCTTATCAGTGCATTCCTTTCCTCTGCTGTAGCCTGGCACTTACCAAGAAATAAACCACCGGAGGGTGGATGGAAGGTAGCAACCATGGGACTGATTTAAGTCTCAACAGATGCAAACGGACAGTCCCTACTCCCAGAGCTGTCTGGTAGAGCTGAAGTCCAAACTCTGCTTTTGAAAGAGCTTTTTTCTAGATTATGTGACTGGAAAATAAAGTTTACAAATGTGACACAGTATGAGATAATGATGGCTCGCGGATACTCGTTCCTCCTTGCTGGGCTGTTTCCACTCCGTTTTCCAAGGAGTAGACTGTGAGTAGGATCCTTCACCGCTGTTGTGAAAGAGGAACAGTTAATCACCCTACGTGCTGTGTCTCTTGAGGACACAACCTCCCTGATAATGGGAAGTTTGTGAGGTCCTGGTAAAACCGCTCTGTAAGATGTACTATAAAGCAGGGGAACGTGGGGCGCAGCTCACGGTCCATTTCATCCCAAGGTGCTGCTTATACTCACTGGTATTTTTGAGGATAGTGCTTCAAGAATTAGTTGGTCATTAAAACTCAGTTTAATGTATGAAAAAGAAAGTTCATGAACTCCAGCCTTGACTGTCAATGAACAGCTCCATGCTGTAACCCTTTTGACGTTAGAAAAAGGTATAGAAAAAAGATGATTTGTCTTACTGATTTGGAAATAAACTTAGGCCATAGCAGCCTGAGTAAGCAGCTTAAGGCTCTCCAACTTTCTGAGTGTCTTAGCTGGGATTGGGATGATCAAGCATACTTACATTTCTGGCAGATATTTAAAGCTTTCCAAGCCAAGATTTATGTGTGAGATAACTTGTAACTGTGTGACTCTAGCCCACTCAGAAAACTGAGTTATCTGTGGGAGAAGAGAAATACAGCGATCTATTCTGTACTGGGTAAACAAAGCTGTGCTGTGGTGGGTGATTTCAGGAGATAGCTGGAAGCTGGCTTTAGAAAGTTATGGTGAAAGCAGGAGAGAGAAGGTTGTTTCTCCCTCACCACACGACCACAGCAGCCACGTGTGTTTCTTCTTCTTTGAAACACTAATGTCGTGAAAAAGACTCTTCAGTTAGCAGACCAGGAGTGACCAACCTTTAGAAAGAATCCAGCCAGGTACAGAGATATATTGGCTTAGACAGACAGCTGCTTCGTTCAGGATTTACCATAGCTTTTCTGTAAGGACAGGAATGGTGTAATGGGCACAGGTCTAAATTTGTCCCTAAGAGCGTCAACATGAAATAACCATGAAGTGTTTTCATTCAGACTTGCGGGTTTGTAATACCAGACTGTCATGGCCTTTTGCAGCCTGACTGGTGATCATTGTATCTGCGCTCCAGGCAGTAAGGCACCCACCAGCCCCCATCCAACACCACAGTGATCATGCTTATACATACACCCACTACACTCAAAATATCTGTGAGTAATCCACCCCATAGGCTCACCACGCTGTCCACAGCACGCTTACTGACCACAATCCTGTAGGTACCACAAGTCATACAGTCACCGTGTTGTTAATACACACCGTAGGACGCCAGTAGAACATCCAGAAAATACGACTAAGCACACAGACAGTGTTATATTAAATTAGTCAAAATCACAAGCTTTAATGCACTCCATGCTTTCAATAGCACCTTTCTTAAAGCTTTACCAAAAGCATACTGAAAATGACTGCAACAGCAGCCTTCCTCCAGGCCAAGGCCTTTCAGTAGCCACTCAATAGCCTCACACCTCTGTCAGCAGAACATAGGGCCACAGCCTCTGGTCAGCACCGTTCCTAAAGGTCCTGACATGTCCCTGCTTCCCCACTGCTGCTGTCTGAAGCTACGCAACATGAATCCCACCAGGAACACGTGAATGCCAGAAACACTCTCTGTTGTTGTGATGCTGTCAAAACTCTCCAGAGGCTCCTAATATTCCCAGCTGTGAGCCACACTTCATCTAGCCACCAGGTTTGTGATTTATCTCTCCCTACAGTCATGGCATTGTCAAAACTTTCTGCTCTCTGCACTGGTGCAGCTGAAACGCAGGAGATCTTGTTGTGCCGACACAACAGGACCAATTCCCAGAAGGCTGATAGTACAAGGAAGGACAGGATTGCAGGGCTTCCAGTTGGCCGGAGAGGCTGAGACTCAGTCGCACCTTAAAATGACATTTAGGCCAGACTAAAAAAAAATTTTGAGTGTCTTCTCACTGCTTATCTGAAATGGCTATTTAGATTCCAGAGGCAGAGGTGCAAAAAGCATGCCACACACCCTCAGCGCAGAGACTAGCAGAGCAGACCTTCATCTTGTTGCAGGTTTCTAGTTTTCACTGACATCTCTAACAGAGATTGAATGTTGTGATTATTTGTGAAATAATCTGCGAATCTAGTGTTTATTTTTATCCAGCGTGGCTAGGACAGCTAAAGAATCTGAAAAGCATTTAGCACCTGAGAAATATAATTGTAAATCCCCTCTGGGGATAGAAGGACATGAGCATATATATTTCATTGGTGGGTGAGTCCTGTGATCATGTAGCTCAAAAGTATGCTGAATCCCAGTCTACTAAACAGAGGATGAAGGCTCTTGCTTTCAGAGTGGGCCCAATGCTTTGAATCCCACATTGGTGGAGGTTCCTTCTGGAAGAGCAATGCACCTTATCTCCAGAAGGGGATGAAGCTAAAGCCTACCCTGCGAGCTCTGCAGCTCGTGCTGGTCACAACTCACACACTGCACAGGGCACTTGGTGCCTCCTCCTGGGCTGTGAATTCCTTGCCTATGGCCAGGCATCTCAGAGCCAAGCTCTCTACTATTTCATTTCTTTTGAGTAGGAATTGAGGGCATATCTTATTTCAGACCTGCAGTCTAGGTCTGTGCTTGTGTCAGGACTGCACACCTTACAAGATACCAGAGAAGTGATGTGCTAATAGCAGCAGTGGGAAACTAGCTGGTAGAGTCCATGACTCAAGAACATACATGCCATGAAAAAATGATCACATGAAGTAGGTAAGGTGGCATACCTTATCCTAACAGGTAGAGGAGTTTGAGAGCTAGGAAGCAATAACAAGTTAGCTGATTATGCTCAATAGTGTCTTTGTTTTGATTTCAACAGAAAAAAAACATGAACTCAGATCTTGTTTTAGTCACTAATGAACAAACAATCTCAGTAATAACATCTACATTCAGAAGGAAAAGCAGCTGCCTCGGTGCCTTAAGAGTACTCTTAATAGTACTGTCCATTAAATAAACAACGAGCTTCTGCATGTTGCTCACCATGCTCCATAGAAGCCGGAGAGATCAGGAATGGGTATGCATAGGCTTCGTTTGTATTCTTGGAATTATTTTTTGAGGGCAAGGGGTCTGTAGCTTTTTGTATACTCTGTACCACATACTCCTTAGCACTCTTTAATGAGTAAATGGTAGAGTGGAACTTACATGGTATGTAAGGATGCATCAAAACAGGCCATAAATATGGACTTTAAACGCACATTTGAGAAGGAGACAGAGAATGAGAGAGGTGTATCCTGCAGAAAGGAATAAATCTGTGACATACAAAGACAAGAACCTGCCACACACTTTCACAGATCCAGATACTGCATCACCCTTCTCCCCTGTCACCGTGTGATAATAAGCATATGTGATTCACTGTAGGCAGCTGTCCAGAGAGAGGGACTGGGGAGAAGCACCTCGTGAGTATATAATTAAAAGCAGGAGGTATTGGGAATTCTTGCTGGATTATGAGAAATATAATATAATTGGCATGACTGAAACCTGGCGGGTTTATTCGCATGACTGGAATGTAAAAATTGCTAGTTATAAATTGTTTAGGAAGGGAGGAGTGGTAAAAGAAATTGAGGAGGTAGAGCTCTATATTAAAGGTAGAATTTCCAGTGATAGAGGAGCTGAACCCAAGGGGCCTGGACAATCTCCATCCAAGGATGTTGAAATAATTGGCACATGAAAATGCAGGTTTAGTAGCAAGTATCTGCACGTTGCTGTATTCAAAGACTGGAAATAAATGATACAGGCCACTTGACCCGGCAACCTTAGGACAGTTTTCAGGGAAAGCAGTCAGTATATGGCAACAAATGGGTTTTATCAAAGGTAGGGTTTTGTTAAAGGTAAATCTTTTAACTAGATGAATCACTTCTTAGACAAAGGTAATGCATTAGACCCAGTCTCTGTGAAGTTACAAAAAAGCATTTGATGGAATGTCCCACTGAAAATTCTTTACAGAAGAAGTACAGAAAGCAGAGAGAAGGTAACAATGTGGTGACGGATGTAGGCATGCGTCCACTCTGGGGACTGCTAGACTGCCCGAGCCTCTTCAGACTGGAAGGCAGGCATGCTGTGCAGAGAA